TCCGCAACCTCACTGTGGTCACGCAAGACAGCTTGCGTCAACCTCACTGTGGTCACGTCTTCACTTGAATTTGGCTCCTGCTGATGTCGGAATCTCTCTGCGCCGATCCAGTCACGCCACCTCCCTGGGCGGCGTTGAGTCACGGTTGCTGTAGTTAGGTCGACGCAGTGTCCGTGTAGACATGGCATTGCTCACATCGACTGTTACTGGCCTCTGGGAGCCACCCACAATGCCCCACACTGACAGTACAATTGATACAAGCGCTCCTGGTGGGGACGTGCACCGCTGACCCAGAAGCCAAGTGTGGTCTACTGTACTAGCAATACATGGCTGGCTGGCTGATTTCAATGTGAGTTGTGGTGCTCAGAACCCCTGACAATTTGGCTCAGTCTTTGAACTTCCCCAACTCCCATCTATTACACATGGAACGTGGAAAATATAGAGAGAGTCTTGTCACTCTTTAGTCCAATGGGTGATGGGTTCACTAACAGAAACCAGACAAGGAAACCTCACGAGGCAGAGGGGAACCATTCAGCTTTCAAGCTCTGGCCAGAAGCTTTAGTATAACCATTTACCACAGGGTATTTCTCCCAGCCAGTCAACACAGGAATCGCCAGACCTGCTCACACCATTGGCCCGTCCACATGCGTGTCGCCTCTGCTACAACGGCCAGTGCCAGATACTTTGGCGAAGAGTGAGAGAAACCCGATGTAAGCAGTGTCAGGATGAGCTCTACCCTAACATCTGGTGGTGAATTATGGTGAGTGTGGAAAAGAACTTCAGAGGCTGATCTTGTTTGCATAGGCACACCCAGCCGCCTAGCATGAGCCCACAGCAACCAAAAGTGGTTACTTTGGCTGGTGTGGGATCCCCAGTTTCTCTGTTATTGGGGCAGGAAGAATAAAGTGTTGTTACCCTGATTATGTGAATCAAGGCCAGTGGAACTGTTGTATGACAGAGGGACTCACCATTAACTAAGTAGCACTCGCTAGACAAGGGGCATGGGTTCCAAAACCCAGTGAACTGAGAGAGGCTGGGGACAGGTATCTGTAATGGGTAGTATGGGTCTCTTTTGAGGGACTGAAACACCAATTGCATCTGCTTCTGTCTCCAATGTTAAATGTCAGAGCTAATTTTGATTACATTAGAAGTCTAGTATCAGAGGGGTAGCCATGTTAGTCTGGGTCTGTAAAAAGCAACAGAGAGTCCTGTGGCACCTTTAGGACTAACAAATGTATTGGTGCATAAGCTTTTGTGGGTGAATGCCCACTTTGTTGGATGCATGTATGAAAGCTTATGCGCCAATACATCTGTTAGTCTTAAAGGTGCCACAGGATTAGAAGTCTAGTTACAGGCTGCTGAGCTGAATTCCCTTTGGGCTAACGGTGCACCAGCACTGGGGCTCCCCTACTACAAACTGAGATCACTGAGGCTGTATTAACTAGTGGGGGAGCCTGAAGATATATTGCTGAGTAGAGCTGAGCAGCTTGTGGCAGGCGGGGCAGTTGGCCTTGGACCCCATGTGCCCCCTTCCCCCCCCCCATCTCCACTCGGGGGTAAAACTCTGCAGAACTTTTGAACTCCTGGGGCTGCACTGACCAGGGACAGAGACTTTGGGGGTGTTGGACTTTTGGGACTTTGGGTGATTTTTGGGTTGCTGGACTCAAGAACCAAAGGGAAAGAACATGGCCCAATTTGGTGGGGTGGGTCTTTTTGCTCATGGTTTGTGATAGGAATTCTGTTTGTGCATTGTTTCCCTCCTTTATTAAAGGGCTTTTGCTACACTCAGACTCCGTGCTTGCGAGAGGGGAAGTATTGCCTCTTAGAGGCGCCCAGGGGGTGGTATGTAATTGTCCCAGGTCACTGGGTGGGGGCTCGAGCCGGTTTTGCATTGTGTTATTGAAACGGAACCCCTAGATACTAAACCCGGCCCTTGTTGCTGCCAACTCAGACCAGCAGAAGGTTACACCCATAACGGACAAGGATGTAAAAACGGGCCCATACTATGGAGGAAAATTGTCCTAAACCCATCATAGTTGGGTTATGCCTGAAGAGCAATATTTTATCACTCGCATAAAAAAAAAATCTGCCTTTAGCTAACTGGATGTTTGCAAATATACAGCCCTCTTTCGATACTTAGCCTCTGTGATATCTTGGGCTAATGAGTTCCGCAGGTGAATTACGCATTGCGCTTTTAAAACAAACCAAGTTTCCTTTATTCATTCATATTTCTGTAAATAACTCTCTCTGTAAATAAAATGCAAGCACACTGCACCTTTTAAACATTCAGTTTATATCCATAACTGCTAACACAAAAGAACAAGAGGGTCTTACTGATAAACTTGATTTCCTTTAAAGTAGAGTTTGACAAAAATAGGATGGGATTGGGTTAGGTTGGGTTTTTATTTAAAGCATTTGCCTTTAATCACACGCACAAAAGAAATCCTAATGATCCCTGGCCTGACATTCACACATGATTACTGATGGTTCTTGCATTACTTATACTCCACCGGCACATTAAAAAGAAACCCAGGCAGAGGCCCTGGGAGGAAAAAGTCACTTTTAAAGCAGCCGCTGGTCAGTTTCATCTCCAGGATATATTTACAGTGAAATTCATTAACATCAGTATCAGAGGGGTAGCCGTGTTAGTCTGAATCTGT